TTATAACTAATTTAAAGTTTTGTAGCTTTATTTTACACCTTTATGCTATAGAATGTTTTGTAAAATAGTCTCCAAAATTTGGCGTACAAAGGCAATATGTAGAAACTTAATAAAAGATACAAAAACATTGGTAAAAATGCAGTAAAAAGCAATGTAAAAATGAAAAAAAAAAACTACATAATTATTGACATGAAATTACTTTTAAGCTATAAGAAAAAAATTCATTAAAAAAAAAAAATAAAGAATTATATTCTACAAAATTGATCAAGTAATTTGAGCCGCGTCACGACAAAACCAACATAATGGGTTTGCGACCAGCACGGATCCAGACCAGCCTGCGCATCCGCGCAGTCTGATCAGGATCCAAGCTGTTCGCTTACCAACCCTATTACAAGAAGAGAAACTGATAGCGAACAGCATGGATCCTGATCAAACTGCGCGGATGCGCAGGCTGGTCTGGATCCATGCTGGTCGCAAACCCATTATGTTGGGTTTGTCGTGACGCGGCTCATTTAGAATTCATGCCGTCAGGATTAATTGCTCACTAACTCGAAATTTACTTACTTTCGTAGAAGGAAAACAAACACGAACACGACAATCCAGCTTAAGACAAAACTCAAAGGCACTATAAAGCCCGGCAAGGAATCATCTAAGTACACCATTTTAGAATCATGGATGTTGAGCGCCAATCGAATTAAGTTTCATTTCTACCTGCAAAAATTATCATGTCATTTACTTTACATGATATATCAGGACAAGAAATGGTAAAGCAAAAAAAATCATTAAGACGTAACAGAGTGTAACACAATAAATCATAGTACAGTACAATCCCTGTAAAGCAAAACTTTTAGGGAAACAGTTGCTGTGAGTTTGGTGCTCTGTAGATGTTAAATTTAGTGTAAATGCATGCACATATTTAGGAAAATTGAAACTGTTTTATTCTACGCAGACGGCAACCCACATAGAGGTAACAAAACACAACATTGCGACACAACGCAATACACTTAGAGAGAGCCTTCCCTTTACTGATGTTAATTCAAAAACTCGCATGGTCATTATCGCTGTTTTATGGGGTGTTTTGCGGATTTGTTGAATTTTGTTAAATTCAATTGTGTTAATCTTAATATGTTACACTGAGTCGTTTAATTTGGCGTTACATACGTATATATGGATATACCTAAAAACCAGTTACTTATAATTATCCAACTGACAATACTCCAATTATTAAAGTCAGGCGGTGCTGCTATGCCTCCATATCTTTGGAAGTGAGTATGGTTTATTACCAAACCCTTCCTAAGATTAAATAACATGAAACGTGACACCCTTTCATTATGTTTATAATGTTGATGTCACGCTCAGTTTACTCCAACAGTAAATAACTGCGGAAAAAGTAAATGTACATGTCACTTAACTGTGATTAGATCCTTAAAAATAACCGATTACGTTATCTCACACAAATTGAAATTCACGTTCTTTTAAAATATTATCATTTGTTAACACTTTATCGTAGATTTAAATTATGTATATAAACACACCATACCTGTTCATTTATTCGGAAATATTTACAACGAAAATATGAATAAATTAATATTTATGTAATGTTATGCAATGTTACGGATCACTTAATTTCAGTTTTATTTAGTGATTACACATAGAGAATTTAAAATATAAATATGAGCCGTGTCACGACATAATGGGTTTGCGACCAGCATGGATCCAGACCAGCCTGCGCATCCGCGCAGTCTGATCAGGAACCATGCTGTTCGCTATCAGTTTCTCTACTTGTAATAGGCTTTGTAAGCGAACAGCATGGATCCTGATCAGACGGCGCAGGCTGGCCTGGATCCATGCTGGTCGCAAACGCATTACGTTGGTTTTGTCGTGACACGGCTCATATATTTATATGCCTCTGTTGCACGTTACGAACGAAACGACCCGGAAGTTTTGTATAAACCACAGATCGAATACCCCAAAATGCAATAGATAACATTGATTATCCAATATGAGTTGACACTTTAATCGAATCTTTAAAGAACTTGTCATCCAAAGAAGAGGTTGAAGAGGTTCGTTGTGTAGTTCGTATAAATCACTATAAACTAGTAAGGCTTGAACGGAAAATTTACGTATTCATGGGTGGAAGTTCAACTAAGATTCTGATCGCTCGGGCCAGGTCATTGATCTTTTAAACCATGTTGTTGACATTAGCCGGAGCCATGTAGACCAAGGACATGAGGAAAGTAATCTGTCCAACTCACAGTCAGGAAATTTGGCAAGTTGCTAGACAACATATTTATAGCATAAATGGCATAAGTGTGTGTCGCCCCTTGAAGTCCAATTGTAACGGTAAGTTGGTATTGTCTCAAGGGCTAAGTTGATTCAAGTATTTAAAAACAAGAAATGTCTCAAGTTCTTCGATATTTACAGAGAAGTTTACATCACATATGATTTGAGATCGTTAAGATATAAGATACTAGATATTGTCATGAACTGTCCAGGGACTACAAATGTTTTCACACGGGATGGGGCTATTCATTGTACGTACCAAAAGAAGTATATTATGTTTTCATCTCCTGACTACTTGTTTGATATAGATGTCATGACTGACTTAAATCTTCTTGGACTTAAACATTTGATGTAATGGCATTGAACGTTCTAGTCAGTGTTCTCATTCCAAGTTTCAAAACTTTTGAACTACTTCAAAAACAAATCACGCGGTTGATTATAGTGTTATTCAACGTTCTACTAAATGTCCTCATTCCAAGTGCTCAGAACTTCAAGAAACTAACCATAAGGGTGATAATAGTGTTAACAACGAATCTTCTGTTTTTCTCTATTTTATTTGGTTTAAATTCAGTAAAGACAATTGTATTTTTAGGAAGACTTATTTACCACCTTAAGAGTTCTAACTACAGGACACTAAGTCTTTTTGACTCGAGACATTGTTTATTCATTTGGTTTATTTTTGAATCTGCTTTAAATCAATTACAATCCACACATTTTACTAAAAAAACTATGTCAATATTCATGAAAAATTTGAAAATGTATTTAAAAGTTACCCAAACATAGAATGTTTATTGGGATGGAAATCGGTATTCGGTATTCTTTCTCTTAGGTGAAACCTCGTGATTCCTGAATGTTTTAAAGCACGTGGTTCACTTTTCGAAATAAAATACTGATTTTGTTTTTGAAAACATTTTATATAAAGGTAATTCACAAGAATTGGCCGGCTCTACACTTTATTCCATAAAACAATGAAATATTAGGGGAAAACGTTTTGAAATAAAATATTACCTGAACGGTTTTTTTGTACCCAAACAGACCACAAAAGTCACGTGGTATAAGCGCCGTGTGTGCGAGATAAACATATGTATTAATTTAACCCAAAATACTTTTTTTCCCAAAAGAACTGCTTTATTTTTCGGAAATCGATCAAAACCATTGTTTCAATTGCATTTGATTGTTCCATGTTGTAATTACATTTTCACTCTGTCAATACTGATTGGCTTAATTAAACATATACAAACTATAAATGGCCGAAAAAATGCAAGACCGTGCATATATTTTGACGTGACGTCATTAGCGTTATACATGTACAAACATAGTGTAAAGACGCGCTAAATGTTAGCGTTATACTATAGGCGCGTCAATGAAAAATGATTCTTTTTTTCACTTAAAATGGGCTTTATTTTGGGTATGTGATAAATAGAATATTAAATTCGTGTAAAATCATTATTGAATTTATTGAACTCGTTGAATCAAATAATATTGTGCTCGCCAGAGGCTCGCATAATATTATTTTATTCAACTCGTACAATAACTTGAGTATTGAACTTACACTCATTCAATATCCTCTATTTATTTCCTTGAATATTTCCTGTAAGTGCCTTTTAATTTACATTTTGTCTGACAGTGACACTGGAACCACTACATATATATTCACAAACCGCCACAGTAATTATGGAAGCACTCTGCCATTTCATTCGCTTTTTGCCACAGTGACACTGAAGCAATACAGATATATTTATTATTTGCCACAGTGACACTGAAAGCAATACCGATATATTTATAATTTGCCACAGTGACACTGAAAGCAATACCGATATATTTATTATTTGCCACAGTGACACTGAAAGCAATACCGATATATTTATTTTTTGCCACAGTGACACTGAAAGCAATACCGATATATTTACTTTTTGACACAGTGACACCGGATGTTAGCGATGGCGTAATTCTTGCAAGTAACAGTGCTAGTGATATCGAAAGTGACGTCGTAAATGCCGAAATTAACTGAACAATTGCCTCTTTTGGAAAATTGAGCCGCGTCACGACAAAACCAACATAATGGATTTTCCGCGCAGTCTGATCAGGATCCACGCTGTTCGCTTACCAACCCTATTACAAGTAGAGTAACTGATAGCGAACAGCATTGATCCTGATCAGACTGCGCGGATGCGCAGGCTGGTCTGGATCCATGCTGGTCGCAAACGCACTATGTTGGTTTTGTCGTGACGCGGCTCAAATGTTCTATACGATCTTAGGGTAAATTCCATTATTCCATTAGATCACGCGGTCAGCATCTTTCTCTTATACTGTAATTTCCCCACCATTGCTTTTAATAAAACTGAATCGAAATCACGCTTGATTTATGTGCTTTATTATTTACCCATCAATTACAAATGAATCGTATAAATAGAGGATATTCAATTTTTTTCTTTGAATACAGGATTTATTTTCATCGAGTGGTATGAAAATAAATATTTCAAGTGAATTATGATAATTTTCATACCACAAGATGAAAATAAATCCTGTATTTATAAAAAATGAATTTTCTGTTTATTATATACATTTTTTTGACATTACATTTTGAAGATTTCCCCTTTTATTTTGTGTGTTTGCTGAATTTAGAAAAAAGTAGTCCGGCAAGACACCAGTGAAAATACGGAAAATATGTTTCACTGCAGTGCAAAATAAATGTTTTACAGTGAATATACGGAAAATGAAAATACACATTTTATTTCATCAATATTTCTCAATATTTCATTTACAAGAATATAATAAATATATTTATATATACAGTTCATTGGTTCTATATGAAAAATATATAATACGTTTTATAATACAAGTACTAGTTTGTTGTTATTCATTTTCAGGGTACAAGAACTTTTGTAATGAAATCATAAGTTCCATTTTACTGTTTGTAATTTGAATGATTTTGTTTTAACATTTTTATATTCAAGTAAAATAATATTCTTCTTCGACATCTAAATAATTACATCAACAAACTGCATTTGGAGCAATTGTGAATGGTTAAAAATGCGTTTTAAAGACTTGCAACAATTTTTATACAGAGCAGATGTAATAAGCAAATATCAAAGTATTGCAAGCGATACAAAAGGCACCTACCGGTTTGAACACCATAAATAAATATGGAAAAATAAAGTTTAAAGGGGGAGATAATTATGAAAATATGGACGCTAGATTTATGAAACTTATCATAATTTATTATTATGATGTGGGAGTTTGAAGTAAATCCTTTAGGAAATGAAGAAGTTTGAGTAAAAAATAATAATTTCTAGATCTAAGTTCAAAAGGGCCATAATACTTTAAACAGTCAAGCTAGATTATTGAAATTCTCACATATAATTTGAGTGATAGACTGCAATCTACTCATATTTCAAGTTTCATAAAAAATATTTTCAACACTTTTTGCGTTATCATGGGATACAGTTTTTGTTGACTGACGGAAAGACTGACGGACGAATGGACAGAGAAACGGAGGGAAAACCTAAACTATCCTCCTGTTTATCCGTTAGGAGACTTAAAACTATTTGATAGAATTTAAGTTCATAGAATATGCAAATACCGGTACATCAAATTCAAAGGCAGATAACTGAAATAAAAGAGGGCGCCCCGCCATTTCTCGCTTATTACGTTTCTGCTATAGCATATTCTAAGGCCTAGTAATTTCAATAAATTTAAATTCCGTTAAACAGTTAATTATGTCTGTTTGAAAACTGTAGCAAACGTCTTTAAATGTTTCTGCATATTTAGAACGTTATAATCAATTTTTGTAAATTACACATAAAACTGAAGAAGTTATTTTTTATGTATGCAGGCAAATTGGTGATAACAGGATTTAGAATCTATGTAATTATCAAAAAAGAGATATTCAATTCATCTATCAACAGTCCTTTCTGATCACTATTGGTTGCAGGTACAATCTATTACGAAAAAGGTAAGTTGATAAACACATCTCATTGTCATTTTTTGACGCTGACTTGCACTGTAAATGCCGGAACATGCCGAATGTTTCCGAGTTTAAAATGAAAGTTATATTTCAAATATGAAGCACATCGCCTTCTTTACATTGTTTTTTATCATCAGAATTAGAATCTACTGTGCTGGAATGTTCTATATCGACACAAACCTCTTTGTTCACAGAGACGTTTAATATATATCATCATCATCATCATCATCATCATTAAGACAATGATAGTCACCGTTCCAGACGTTTTTCCTTAGACTGTTTACTTTGTAAGACCTGAAATAAAGAAAATTTGACCATGTTTTTCATATATATAAACTTTAAAATAACAATAACAACAATGAAAACAACAACAAACACAAGCGTACGTAGTATGCATTTTAAAAAGTTTTAATTGTAATTGTTATGAAAAAATTCATCAAAACAACGTTTCATGATCACAGTGACCTTGACATTTGTCCAAATGAACTAAGATATTGCAAGCGTCATTGTATTTGTACAAACATCTGTTTTTATGAAAAGACACATACGCACAAGCGCACGCACACAGGCATGTCTTTTAGCAGTGTGAGGTACTTGTTCTTTGTTCAACTGACTTTTGACTCTAACCCTAATCTCTGACCCTAAACTTACCCTAATGCGTTCTTAAATCTAAAGTAAACCTACTGTCTTTCTCCTAAACCTAATACATGACTCTAGGAGGGAAGGTAAAGTTCCGATGTAGCACTTTTCCTACCTCATAATGTAGGTTAAACATCACTTTGCATTGGTTAAGTTGACACATTCACCTCGCCAGGTTAGGTAAACCGGCGCATGCAAGCACGCACACACAAATCCTTATTGATTATACTTGAGCTTATAACTAATTTAAAGTAATGGAGCTTTATTTCACACCTTCATGCTATAGAATGTTTTTAAAAATAGTCTCCAAAATTTGGCGTACAAAGGCAATATGTAGAAACTTAATAAAAGATCCAAAAACACCGGTAAATATGCAGTAAAAAGCAATGTAAAAATGAAAAAAATATTGACATGAAATTACTTTTAAGCTATAAGAAAAAATTTCATTAAAAATAAAATAAAGAACTATATTCTACAAAATTAATCAAGTAATTTGAGCAGCGTCACGACAAAACCAACATAATGGGTTTGCGAACAGCATGGATCCAGACCAGCCTGCGCATCCGCGCAGTCTGATCAGGATCCAAGCCGTTCGCTTACCAACCCTATTACAAGTAGAGAAATTGATAGCGAACAGCATGGATCCTGATCAAACTGCTGGTCTGGATCCATGCTGGTCGAAAACCCATTATGTTGGTTTTGTCGTGACGCGGCTCATTTAGATTCATGCCGTCAGGATTAATTGCTCACTAACTCGAAATTTACTTACTTTCGTAGAAGATAAGCAAACACGAACACGACAATCCAGCTTAAGACAAAACTCAAAGGCACTGTAAAGCCCGACAAGGAAGTAAAGCCCTGCAAGAAATCAACTGTAAAGCCCGGCAAGGAATCATTTAAGTACAATGTTGAGCGATGTTGAGCGCCAATCGAATTAAGTTTTCATTTCTACCTGCAAAAAAAAAAAAAAAAAAAAAAAAAAAAAGAAATTATTAATTATGAGAATTTTTGTATCACATGTGCAGATCCATATTATATGTGTAATATATTGTTTATTGCTGTATTTATATTCATGAAAGATTCTGTATTTATTTGACAAAGTTTTTCATTCCCGCGTTAACGTCACGTTCTGTTTAGCGTATAGTTAAACGGACGTTGCGTCATTTGTCATTTGTTATGTTATAAACGTCAATTTTTTCTGAAGAAGACTAAATGTCGAAAGCTTAAGAAAAGCGTTTGTTTTTATTGAACTGATTATATATTTCTACCTGCAAAAATTATCATGTCATTAACTTTACACGAGAAATGGTAAAGCAAAAAAAATGTATTAAGACGTAACAGAGTGTAACACAATAAATCATAGTACAGTACAATCCCTGTAAAGGAAACAGTTGCTGTGAGTTTGGTGCTCTGTAGATGTTAAATCTAGTGTAAATGCATGCACATATTAAGGAAAATTGAAACTGTTTTGTTCTACGCAGACGGCAACCCCATAGAGGCAACGAAACACAACATTGCGACACAACGCAATACACTTAGAGAGAGCCTTCCTTTAACTGATGTTAATTCAAAAACTCGGATTGTCATTATCACTGTTTTATGGGGAGTTTTGCGAATTTGTTGAATTTTGTTAAATTCAATTGTGTTCATCTTAATTTGTTACACTGTGTCGTTTAATTTGGCGTTACATACGTATATATAGATATACCTAAAAACCAGTTACTTATAATTATCCAACTGAGAATACTCCAAATATTAAAGTCAGGCGGTGCTGCTAGGCCACCATATATTTGGAAGTGAGTATAGTTTATTACCAAACCCTTCCTAAGATTAAATAACATGAAACGTGACACCCTTTCATTGAGGCAATGTTTATATTGTTGATGTCACGCTCAGTTTACTCCAACAGTAAAAAACTGTGGAAAAAATAAATGTACATGTCACTTAACTGTGATTAGATCCTTAAAAATAACCTTGCATTACGTTATCTCACACAAATTGAAATTCGCGTTCTTTTAAAATATAATCAACACCGAATGTTTAAGTTAACACCTTATCATAGATTTAAATTATCTACATAAACACATACCTGTTCATTAATCAGAAATATTCACAACACGAAATCATGAATAAATTAATATTTGTGTAACGTCATGCAATGTTACGGATCAGTTAATTTCAGTTTTATTTAGAGAATTTAAAATATAAATTTATTTATATGCCTCTGATGCACGTTAAGATTTCATCTCTAAACGAAACGACCCGGAAGTTTTGTATAAACTACAAAATACAGAAAAAAGAATCCCTAAAGAAAGTCCAACACGGCAAAATTGAAAATGTTGCAGGCTCGGTTTGATTCAACCTGTTCATGGACGGTACTGTCAAGTGCAAACTACCGTCCACGCCCCCTAACAAGTCGAATACCCAAAATGTAAAAGATAACATTTATCTTATCTATAATCAGATTATCCAATATGAGTGAAAAGAAAATACAGAGCAACAAGAACGATTCCCTTGATCTGCAGTCAAATTTCTGATCTCATCGAATCTAAGTTAGATGAGAAATTTGACACTTTAATCGAATCCTTAAAGAACTTGTCACCCCAGGAAAAGGTTGGAAAGGTTCGTTGTTCAGTTAGTACAAAACACTATAAACTATTAAGGCTTGAACGGAAAATTTACGTATTCATGGGTGGAAGATCAACTAACATTCTGATCGCTCGGGCCAGGTCATTGATCTTTTAAACCATGTGTTTAACATTTAGTCCGAAGTCATGAAGAAGCTAAGAAACATAGAGGAAAGTATCTGATCCAACTCCAGGTCAGGAAATTTGCAAGTTGCTAGACAACATATTATATAGAATTAAATACGCTATTAGGCCTGGTGTGCGCCCCTTGAAGTCCAATGTAACGGCTAATGTTGGTATGTCTTTCAAGGCTAGTTGATTTCAAGTAATTTTGAAAAACAAAGAAAATTGTCTCAAGTTCTTCGATACTTACTAGAGAAGTTTTACATCACATTAATTGATTTTCAAGATCGTTAAGATATAAAGATACTAAGATATGTCATGAACTGTCCAGTTGACTACAAATGTTTTCACACGGTATGGGCTATTATCATTTGTACATACCCAAAAGAAGTATGTTACTGTTTTCATCTCCTTGAACTTGTTGTGATATTGATTGGGTCATGTACTGAGCTGTAGAGACCTTCTTGGACGTTAAAACATTTTGATGTAATGGCATCTTGAACTGTTCTAATCAGTGTTCTCATTCCAACTTTTAAACTACTTCAAAAACAAATCATGCGGTTGATTATAGCGTTATTCAACGTTCTACTAAATGTCCTCATTCAAAGTGCTCGGAACTTCAAGAAACTAACCATAAAGGTGATAATAGTGGTAACAACGAATTCTGTTTTTCTCTATTTTTATTCGGTTTAAATTCAGTAAAGACAACTGATTTTTAGGAACACTTATTTACAACCTTAAGAGTTCTAACTACAGGACATTACGTCTTTTTGACTCGAGACATTGTTTATTCATTTGGTTTATTTTTGAATCTGCTTTAAATCAATTACAATCCACGCATTTTACTAAAAAAACTATATCAATATTCATGAAAAATTTGAAAATGTATTTAAAAGTTACCAATACATAGAATGTTTCTTGTGAGGGAAATTGGTATTCGGTATTCTTTCTATAAAGTGAATCCTATAGTGATTCATGAATGTTTTAAAGCACGTGGTTTCACTTTTCGAAATAAATATTGATTTGGTTTAGAAAGGTAATATACTAGAATTGGCTGGCTCTACACTTTATTCCATAAAAACAATGAAATATTAGGGGAAAAGTTTTGAAACAAAATATTACCTGAACCGTCTTTTGTACCCAAACAGACCGCAAAATGTCACGTGGTATAGGCGCCGTATGTGCGATATATATATACATATGTGTACGTGTATTGATCGCCGTAACCGGGAATCCATACGTACAACTTACTCCATAAAAGTTTGTAAATAGTAAAACGGCTCTTTAAACTTGCTATTTGCTGTTTAAGTTGTATAGCAGTATTTAAATGGCATCTCAATTTCTTATAAAGTTTTACCCCAAATACATTTGTACTTGTTATTGTTATTTTTTACTTAAGTTATAAAGGGATCAGACTTATAATGCCTGGTTAAGAAGTCAGACGAGGGTTACACTGGACCACTGCATCCGGCGCTAGTACATTAGCATCACTTTTAATATAACTATTTTATGAGAGCGATAATTTTCATGTATTTCATCATACGAGGTGAAAAAAGGTGATATTCTCCCAAACAATTTTTCCTCCAAAAGACCTGCTTTATTTTTTTCGAAATCGATCCAAACCATTGTTTCAATTGTAATAGGTAAATTCAGTTATAAGTCATTTAAAGTTAAAGCCTTTGATTGCTTCATGTTGTAATTACATTTTTATTCTGTCAATACTGATTGGTTTAATTCTATAAATGGGCGAAAAAAGTGCAAGACATAGAGGATATTAAATGAGTGTAAGTTCAATACTGAATTTATTGAACGACTTGAAAATAATACATGTATGCGAGCCTCTGACGAGCATATCATTTTATTCAACGAGTTTAATAAATTCAGTCAAAATTGCATATAAATTGA